TAGAAATTATTCATAACTATATCAAAATTCACTACTGGTACATGGAGAGGAGATGCCAGAGTTATTAAAATATTTGTTGAGTTTATTGTAGCGGGATGTGACAATAGACTCTTTGCTATAACTCCACCCTGTATAGAAAACAACAAAGAATCTTTTAACAGAATGACATAGTTATTGTTTAAATATATGTAAAGAAATTAACATTTTATTTTATTACTTATTTTAAAAAACGGTTTCTAAACGATTGTCTATGGGTTGAATGAATGTTGTCTATTATTTTAAAAGCCACCTTAGAAGAATGGCATATTTTAAAAACGATAAAATAGGAACTTAAATGTTGTTTCTTTGTTTTCAGAGCAACACATTTAATCATTTAAAACCCAATAATTAGAAATAAAGTTCTTATATATACTTAATTAAGAATTTACATTTTAATCTCTAATCTAACATTAAAGATATTATTATTGTTTGTGTACTTTTAAAACTAATACTTATGTACTCAGCTGTAATTTCTCTCCAAATAGGGTTGGCATTAATCTAGCTGGTTGTAAAAATTAAGCCCAAAGATTAAGGTTTTTAATACCTTGTATGTCAACCCTATGTGACTGGCATAAGACCCAGCAGACAATGATGTAAGCTCTTACCATAGAATGTCCAATTATAATAACAGATGTTGGTATAGTTTTAGTGTATTTGTTTGATTTGTATAAACTTAAAATTTTTGACACACTTATAGCGGCAAATTCACTTTGATCCTCCAATATACTTCCAGAAAATGCAGATAGTTCCTCATTGTAGCTTACTAAAAAAAACATGTAAAAACACATGACAACAATTATAAACATTTTAAGTACTTTAAGTTTTAATTGCAATAATATTGTACCAATCCAAATAATTGTATTTACATTGCTTATTCTAGATGAATATAAGGCAATATGACAATTGCATGTCTAAATAACATAATCAAAAAACATTACTTACTTGTAAAAAAGTCGAAGTGAAATTCATAGCCTTTGGATATAGCTTTTCGTAGAGCAACAGAAGCTATGGACCTAGCTTGCATATGACTTCCTGAATTCCCAGGTAAAAACAACACTGGTATACCATCAAACCTGAAATCATATTTTCCTTGAATAAATGGTTTATGTTACAGTAATAAAAATCCCAGTATTGTTTCAAAATAGTTAAAATATTACAAACCACATCTTTCTAGTTTTCTCAGTAAACCTTCCTTCACTATAAGCATACAGCCCATATTGTGAGTATTTTGTCTTTGTAATCTCATCGTTTATTGATATTCGCTAAAATAATAATAATTAATAATTATACTTGTCGTTGTATTCAAGAAAAAAAAGAAAACCAAAATACTTACCACAAATTGTGGGTATTCAAACATATAAGTCATAGAACAATAGTTATTTTTGTCACTAAAATGTAGGTTTAGAATACCAAAAAAATATACAAATAGTGAAGCTAAAGATATAAATAATGCCGATTCAAAAACGTTGTGAATTTTCAAAAACTTATACA